TTAGGGCCTGATTACATGAGCCGGGCTGGCCCGGTTAGCCGGGCTGATTTCTTTTGTTTTCACGCTTTGGCGAACACCAAAACAAAAGAAATCAGCCCGGTTAACCGGGCCAGCCCGGCTCATGTAATCAGGCCCTAAATCCCACAGGGATCAATGAACGCTTTTCATTCCACTAATTTATTCATGTTTTTCTCGTTGCCATGCACCCACCAATAACGTAGCTCCATTTTCTGCCTTTAAAAGCACACACAACCCACAATTCCTCTATTCGCTCCGACGAAGGGCTAACGCTCGAAACGTCAGCTTTTGTAATCATTACGGTGGCCAATTTACCATTTCAACTTTGTTGATATATCCAAATTACTTCGTTACTCCCACCGACGCAGCCCCAAACTGTTTCTTTCGAAACTATCAGTCTTTATAACGTACCTCCCTCAATCGTTTGAGCGGTAACATTTTCACTTGCATAGATTAGGCTTCCTATTTCTTCCCCAGTAAACGCAAGAACATCAAAGATGTATGTGTGGCTAGAAACCAGTAGCCGTTCCACACTATAGTGCTTGTCATGGCCGTTCACCGGTAGAAGTACAGAAACGTTGTCTTTTTGATCTGTGAATCGCACATAGTACTGTGTAATTGACACACCAAGAGGAAAATCATCCCACTCCAAATCGGCTGAGATTTCACTTGTGGTCACCCTCACAGTCCAAGACAACTGCGTCACTGGAAAAAGACACAGCAAAAGTACTTTAATCATTTATCCGAATTCTGTATAAACTCAAGGAAAAATGCCTGCAGAAGAAACTGACTCGCTGCTTGAAGTCATTTCGTTTCTGTTATCTCTGTTCCAATAATAGCCTAAAAGGAAATATAGCTTGCCCATCCAGATAGTCTTCCTCCAGATCGAATTTCAGCCTACTGGTATCCATTCACACATCTGGGTGAAGGAAGAAATAGTGAAAGGGAAATTTATGGTTCAAGAACACAATGATTCTGACCTATTTTCCGTCACGATCTTTCATTCCTAAGTCCAGCGTTCAGAACTACTCGTCAGCAGTTTCAAACTTGGCGGTCATTTTTAGGGCTTCTATCTTTTTTTGAAGCAAAATCAGACCTCAAGATCTTAAAAAAATTGTGTTCAAGTCCGAAGAAATAGCATTTTACAGTACACACTGAACCTAAGCCAGTAAATAAACAAAAAAACTAAACACACATACGTACACACTACACGTTCAGAGAGAAAAGGCGAAAGTGAACCGCGTTAAGATCCACCAGATCACAGAATAAAATGATATATTATGTTTCCTTGAATTGTAGTTTTTCACAATTTCCAGACATACCATTCAGGTCCTCATGGGATGCTTCATACGAAGCATAAAAACCATCCCCACGCCTGTATTTGTCTCTTGTATGAAAACTGACGTCTGCATGACTGTCCATGATGATTGCGATGAAATCTTCCCGGTGCCTACAAACTGATACCCCACTGACATTTCCTTTCGTCGAAATCCCAACCCAGTCGTTCGATCTGTGAAAAGTAAAGTTGCTGTTGAATACCTCAATAGAACATAAAAATAACAACCCAAACTGGTGTAGTTTGACTCTCACCTGCAATTGGAGTTATGCTCGTACTCTTCCAAACGAAATTCTTTAAAAAACATCCAGATCACTTTGACCGCCTCATCGGTGTCTGGTGTGATTGACCAATGGCAATTCTGTACTCCTCCATACGAGCATGGCTGATTAGGACTCGCTATCATGCCGCTGCTGTTTGTAAGCGTCACTGGACCTCCACACCCTAATGAATGAATTAATGAATAAATGACGGACTTAGTAGGTGAGTTGACTTGTAAGGACTTTCGACTTTCAATCTCTGATTTTCTGTCGAAGGTGATGCAGTGGAAAGTTGAGTTTCAATGACTAAACGCTTGATTAATTGACTAGCAGCTTGATTAATGGAACGACTAATCAATCTTTGAATGTATCGACTCTTTGAGCAATTGTTCGTTCTTCACTACTTTTTGCTTTTGTTTGTTTGTCAGTTGTCTTCTTAAGCAATCATGTTACATTTTGCATTTGAATTATAGGCAAATTGCTTACCAATGTAAATATCATCTCTGTCAGAATATTCTCCGACTCCTTTTGACGTAAATCCAGCGACACCTACGCGGTACTGCAATCCTGGGTAGAGGTCGCATACTGTGGCACTCAGGGTATCTGGCGAGCTGACATTTAAACGTCCGGTATGGAAGAGGCCGTTTTCTTGGTAATTGTGGCAAGCAAGTTCGTAATGAATGTTGTAGCCTTGAATGAAGCCATTTCTACGCTCCTCAGAAATTGGATGCCAACTGATCTCTACACAGCCATCTTTGGTCCAGTAATCGTCGATGGGGGGACCCTCACTGGGAACTAATATAAATGAAATATCTATTAACATCACGAAAGAGATTTAAGGTTAAAACAAACAATGACTGACTTCTTTTTCGCCTAATCAATAATACTCGAAATCAACTTTTTCAGAAAAAAATTGCTGTTTAGACATGCTGTGGACCTAAGAAAGACATGTATCCCTGATCATTTGCCTCCTGACGTCCTCTGAACAGTCAAGGTTCAAAAAAGAAATCGTAAGGCAGTTGATTCTTTATATCTAATTTGGTTCGGATCGAACAACTAACGACTGGTTAAAGCGTTATCGTGCGTTTATAAAGAGGAAAAGAGTGCTAACAGTTGCTTGCATCGCAGCTTTAAGTTACTCTAGCTCCTTGATTGCAATCCTAACTGCTTTGTATCTCAATGTACGCTCAGCCACGCATGAACGAGCTGTTTTGAGACATTTTCAACGCTTAAGCTGAAGTCTTGTCCACAAAAAAATTCCCTCAAATCAATACCTGACACATATCATTAGGTTGCATGCAAAATGTGAACATAAAGCAAGGGATTGAGCTTGATGTCGTTAATTTATCATCTATGCTATGAATTCTGTAAGCGGTTGAGATATTTAGTCTATAATAACTCACCACGCTCTTCTGTCTGGAGCTGAATCTCTTTACTTTGGTAAAGCTCATGGGTACTTTCTTCAACGAGATAAACAGAAATAGTGAAATTGGTAAATGCTGGCAGGCCCATCACTTTTGCAATTGTCTCGGATGAGTTCACCATGTGAAGATAATTCCTGGGCTTAAAGTCGTCATCATGATGGTGATGGTGGTGATCGTCGTCGTCGTTTTCATATTTTCTCTGAGTCTCGTTAATTGATACAATGAAGAAAGCGTCAACTTTGCTATCGGGGTGGCCAGAGAGATCGACAAGAACTGCCCCATCGCTTGAGATGTTTGCAGCTATATTCCACTCAGGAGATTGATGAGCTAGCATTGTTGTAAAACAATAAAATTTAGGAAAGGGCATTCAATTCCACTAAATTAGAGTTTTTTTTATTAAAATACGAAATGTTGTAATGCGGTTGGTAACCGGTCGTTCCACCAACGTGTCAGTTCGCCAACGTTAGTTCGCCAGCGTCCAAGATAATGTAATTAAAAATGACCATTGGAATAAAATTTTACTTTTGATGTATTCACGAGTGTTCGTAGGTTAATATCGTTTGAAATTGGGAGTAAATAACTATTTAACTACGCAAATGTTAAATGAAAATGTTCTATAGTAGGTTTATACTCTACTAGGTAAAAGCCTGGGATGGTTTTCAAAGTCTTTTCCCACACAACACGATCAGCCGTCCAGGAAATGAGAGATTGGGGAGAGTGAATTTCAAACGATACTAACCAATGAACACCCATAAATACATCATAAGTAAAATTTTATTCTTATGGTCATTTGTAATTACAATTATTTTGGACATTGGCGAACTAACATATAAGTATTGGTGAACTGAAATTAGACATTGGCGAATCGATCTCATACGTTGGCAAACTGACGTTGGCGAACTGACAAGTTGAAAGCATTATGTTTTTTTAAAACAGTCATCTTATTAATCAATCAGTTACTCAACCAATCAATTAATCAATCAGTGAACCAGTCAACCAATTAATCAATCAATCAGTCAACCAGTCAACCAATTAATCAATCAATCAGTCGGTCAGTCAATCAATCAATCAATCAGTTAATCAGATAATGAAGCAACCAATTAAGCTATCAAGCAATCAGTCATTCACAGAAACAGACAAGCCAACAGATCATCAGTGGATCGAGCGATCGATCTAGGAGTTCAACATAATTAGTCTCAATGCATTTAAACATTGAACATAGCGGCCCGGCATTGTTCAGTTGTCTTATGCACTTTTTATACCAGCTTCAATCTTATCTTCAAATAATTGTAAAAGCAAAGGCCGCATCTTGATATGCTTTAATGTGACAGCGTGATGCTGTTAGTGAGTTTCACTTGCGCTGGTCAATACTTGGCTGTGCAACCGCGTGATGCGGCTCCAGTCGAGACCCACAAATTGAGCCTTGCTCACCATAGAGTCTCCAGTAGCTCAGTGATTAGAGCATCCGACTAAATCATGGAGAGTCCTGGGTTCAAATCTGGGGCTCGGACTTTTTCTAGTTACATTAAAATTGTTTCATCTTCACATGCTCACTTTGGAGGTTGGTTGGCCGCATTTTGATATGCTTTAATGTGACAGCGTGATGCTGTTAGTGAGTTTCACATGTGCTGATCAATACTTGGCTGTGTAGCCGCGCGATGCGGTTCCAGTCGTGACCCACAAATTGACCCTTGCTCACCATAGAGTCTCCAGTAGCTCAGTGGTTAGAGCATCCGACTAGATCACGGAGGGTCCTGGGTTCAAATCCCATCTGGGACTTGGATTTTTTCCGACTATACATTAAAAAATTGTTGTTTGTTTCATCTTAAAAGCAAAGTCGTACGGGTATTTAACTACATGTTCTTTGGTTACTTGTAATTCAAATTTGGGTGAAAATATGACTTGTGTGCAAGGCGATTTTACCTGAGTTGAGAGATTTTCCTTCTTCTAATATAACAAATTCCGATCTTACGAAGCTTCCTTGATGGTCTGTGTGGAGTTTTAGAGTTAGAAAGTCTGATCCTTCGAAAGATACCTCCACTATTTCACCGTACACCCTGTGATTATTATGGTCACAACCATCGTGATTGTGTAACTCGGTGCCATCACTTGAATAAATCTTAGACCAGGATCTGCCAATGTTGAAAAGATATACAATTAAATATATTAGAGAAACTCTTTTCTTTTGTTACGAACAGTAATCCTCCATCTCTTCGTTCTGACTACCTTTTTTATTGGCATCAAAGCCAACCACTGATCAAATTTAATAAATAATCTAGCTCATAGAGTTTAAACGAAATCTTTTCCACAGGCACTAGATTATTCTATAAACTACTCTTCTCCATCGGAGAGCTTAAGAGGTAGGATGGCACCCTTTATTTCTCCATCTCAGCTGCTAAAATGCTATTAAGAGTTAAATCTTCTTCACAAGAAAAAAAGAGGGATGTGATGTCATAAATATGCATGAAAGTCACAGGAAGTCAAAGGAAAAAAGGAATTGAAATTGAATCCTAACACTATCATCTCAGTGATTTGAGTGAAAAAAAGATACAGTGATCCACATTTTTCATCGATACGTTACCCGCAGGACTCGAACTTCACGTAAAAAGCGGAGATAACAAGAACAGCATTGGTAACACCAGGGTTGTTTAACTTCCAGGTACATTCTAGTTGGTGCCAGTCCCATTGCTGGAGTTTAAATGACGCAAAGTAACCATCCAAATTACCTCCACAACCTGAAATTACATGATGTACCATTTCAAAAACGAGTGCGAGGGTTTCATCGGGGTTTCCAAACACGAGGAAACTGATCGTTTATGAGTGTTTGGAAACCCTGTTGAAACCCGATGCACGGGTTTTTAAAATAGCTTCTCAATCGCGTCTCAGGAATAAAAGAAAACGGAAATATTCACGAATTTTTCACATGATGTCGACAAGTTTGTTGTTGTTATTCAAATCAAGAAATAAGTTCACTAGAGTTTGATGCTTCATCAAACTCAATGGTTTGATATTATATGAAACTCACAAATTGCGCGTCATTTCAGTGTTTCACCGGGGTTTCAAACTACACGCACGTGACGAAATTGGCGTGTCATGGTTGGCTGAGAAGAAATCATCAGTCATATTACGAGCTCAAAACTTGAATTGGTTACTTATGGTCGCCGTAGAAATTGTTGTACTGATGAAATACCTACGTACTTTAGCAAAATCAGGTCGACCTACGCCTCTTTCTTCCCCCTAAAGGGCTGATTTGTAGTCAAGTATGGAAAACATTTCAGTTCCAGCTTGGAGATGTGGAGGCACTTTGAGCCACCTTGCATAAGGTCAATAATAATTATGCTCACTTCTTTTGGCGCGCTGTAATGGATAAGTCTTAGTGATTGTTTTCCTTTGGTAAATATTACTACACTGGATACCCTACGTTTGTTTCGGTAGCGGGACCAAGACGCCTCCACCCCATGAGTGAAAAGAAAAACAAATATTACACCTTTTGCTGATAATTTAGGCGAAAAAGATATTCGTTTTCGCGAAGTGTAGAATCAATGAGACGAAAATACATTCTATAACACCAAGAAGCACTTCATTAACGCCACGGAACGTTCAAGAGCGCAATTTGCATGTTTATAAACGATCAATAGTGTCAACGAACAAACAAGAGCATCTATCGACAATCAAGGACGCCAAGTGGACATTTAAACGCGCGCAATTGACAATCAGTAACACCAAAAGAAAATCATTAACATCTTGTGACAATCGTAAGTGAAAAAGAGACATTTAAGAAGTCAATTAGCATAGAGAGGCACAATCGATGGCGTCAAGAGACAATCATTTATTGAAAAGTTACATTCTATCCCGCGAATCGTTAAACATTTGTGTAATAATTACAAACAATAAAGGGAAACAAAATTTCAAAATTGTTTCTTAGTTTAAGGCTATTATCCTTCGATTGCTTCGTTATTGATGCATCTTGGTAAGTACGTCTGCATAAACCTGAACCACTGTCCACATTTGCG